TAGGTTAAGGTAAGGTAGGGGTGGAGTAGGGTAGGGTAGGGGTAAGTAAAAGGTAGGGGTGGGGTGTGGGGGGGTAGGTTAAGGTAAGGGGGTGGAGTAGGGTAGGGTAGGGTAAAGGGTGTGCAATGGGGTAGGGGTAGGTAGGGGTAGGTTAAGGTAAGGTAGGGTGGAGTAGGGGTAGGCGGGGTAAGGTAGGGTGAGTAGGGTAGGGTAGGGTAGGTTAAGGTAAGGTAGGGTGGGAGTAGGGTAGGGTAGGGTAGGTTGGTTGAAGGTAGTGGAGTAGGGTAGGGGTAGGGTAGGTTAAGGTAAGGTAGGGGTGTAGGGTAGGGTGGGGTGGGGTTAAGGGTGGTGGTGGTGAGTGGGTAGGGGTAGGGGTAGGTTAAGGTAGGGAGTAGGGGTAGGGGTAGGGGTAGGTTAAGGTGTGTAGGTGGGGAGTAGGGTAGGGGTAGGGTGGTACAAGGTAGGGGTGGGAGTAGGGGTAGGGGTAGGGGTAGGCAAGGGGTGGGGTAGGGGTAGGGGTAGGGGTAGGGGTAGGCTGGGGGAAGGGGGTGGGAGTAGGGTAGGGGTAAAGGTAAGGTAGTGGAGTAGGTTAGGTAGGGGTAGGTAGGTAAGGTAGTGGGTAGAGTAGGGTAGGGTAGGGGTAGGGAAGGTAAGGTAGGGGTGGAGCAGGGTAGGGTAGGGTAGGGGTAGGTTAAGGTAGGGTAGGTTGGAGTAGGGGTAGGGGTAGGGTAGGGCAAGTGTGGGGGTAGGGGTGGAGTAGTAGGGTAGGGTAGGGGTAGGTTAAGGTAAGGTAGGGTGGAGTAGGGTGTAGGAGGGTAGGTTGTAAGGTAGGGTAGGGTAGGTTAAGGTAAGGTAGGTGAGTAGGGGTAGGGTAGGGGTAGGGTAGGTTAAGGTAAGGTAGGGGTGGAGTAGGGTAGGTAGGCTAAGGTAAGGTAGGGTAGGGTAGGGTAGGGTAGGTCAAGGTGTAGTGATAGGGTAGGTAGGGTAGGTTACAAAGGTAGGGTGGGAGTAGGGTAGGTAGGTTAAGGTAAGGTAGGGTGGAGTAGGGTAGGTAGTAGGTTAAGGTAAGGTAGGGTGGAGTAGGGTAGGTTAAGGTAAGGTAGGGTGGAGTAAGGTAGGTGAAGGCAAGGTAGGGTAGGAGGGGTAGGAGGATTGGTTAACGTAGGGTGGATAGAGTAGAGTAGGTTGGGGTAGGGGTAAGTGAGGTCACGTAATTTCTTGCGCCTACTCTTCAGGTCAGAGGGTGGTTTTGCGCTACAGCTCACAGGATGAGTAGAGGGTACACAATAACCAGCCGTCTCCACATGATCCAATCTGACTAAATTCTCTGCCACTAAGTCTCTGTCGGTACTACCACTGTCACCACCCACCACCACCACCACACCCCACCACACCACCACCACCCCCACCACCACCCACCACCACCACCACCACCACCACCACCCCACCACCACCACCACCACCACCACCCCACCATCACCACCACCACCACCACCACCACTCACCACCACCACCACCACCACCACCACCACCACCACCACTCACCACCTCACCACACCACCACCACCCACCACCACCCACCACCCACCACCACCACCACCACCACCACCACCACCACCACCACCACCATCACCACCACCACCACCACCACCACCACCACCACCACTCACCATCACCACCACCACCACCACCACCACCACCCCACCACCACCACCACCACCACCACCACCACCACCACCCAACCACCACCACCACCACCACCACCACCACCACCACCACCACCACCACCACCAACCACCACCACCACCACCACCACCCACCACCACCATCACCACCACCACCACCACCACCACTCACCACCACCACCACCACCACCACCACCACACCTCACCACCACCACCACCACCACCACCACCACCACCTCACCACCACCACCACCACCACCACCACCACTCACCACCACCACCACCACCACCACCACCACCACCACTCACCACCACCTCCACCACCACCACCACCACCACACTCACCATCACCACCACACTACCCACCACCACCACCACCACACCACCACCACCACCAACCACCACCCACCCACCATCACCACCACCGCCACCACCCCACCACCACCACACCACCACCACCACCACCACCACCACCACCACCACCACCACCACCACCACCACCACCACCTCACCATCACCACCACCACCACCACCACCATCACCACCACCACCACCCACCACCACCCCACCACTCCCACCACCACCACCACCACCACCACCACTCACCATTCACCATCACCACCACCACCACCACTCACCACCACCACCACCACTCACCACTCACCATCACCACCACCACATCCCACCAACCACCACCACCACTCACCACCACTCACCACCACCACCACCACTCACCATCACCACTCACCACCACCATCACCACCACCACCACCACCACCATCACCACCACCACCACCACCACCACCACCACCACCACCACCACCACCACACCACCACCACCACCACACCATCACCACCACCACCACCACTCACCACCACCACCACCACCACCACCACCACCACCACCACTCACCACCACCACCACCTCACCACCATCACCACCACCACCTCACCACCACCATCACCACCACCACTCACCACCTCACCATCACCACCACCACTCACCACTCACCATCACCACCACCACTCACCACTCACCACCACCACCACCACCTCACCACCACCACCACTCACCATCACCACCAACACCTCACCACCACCATCACCACCACCACCACCACCACCATCACCACCACCACTCACCACTCACCATCACCACCACCACCACCACCACCATCACCACCACCACCACCACCACTCACCACCACCACCACCACACTCACCACCACCACCACCACCACCACCACCACCACTCATCACCACCACCACCACCACCACTATCACCACCACCACCACTCACCATCACCACCACCACCACCACCACCACTCACCACCACCACCACCACCACCACCACTCTCACCACCACACCACCACCACCACCGCTCGTCAGTCACAGGACACCACAGCACATACACCCTCCCATACATGTGTCAATGTCTGAGGAGCTGAGGTAAGATAGAGGAGGCGGTAGAGGGAGGAATAAGAGGGAGGCCGGAGGGGTGAGGGTCGGGAGGGGTGAGGGTCGGGAGGGGTGAGGGTCGGAGGGGTGAGGGTCGAGGAGGGTCGGGAGGGGGTGAGGTCGGGAGGGGTGAGGGCCGGGAGTGGTGAGGGCCGGGAGGGGTGAGGGTCAGAGGAGGGTCGGAGGTGAGGGTCGGGAGTGGGTGAGGTCGGGGGGTGAGGGCAGGAGTGGTGAGGGTCGGGAGGGGTGAGGGTCGGGAGGTGAGGGTCGGGAGGGTGAGGTCGGGAGGAGGAGGTCGGAGGGGTGAGGGTCGGGAGGGGTGAGGTTCAGGAGTGGTGATTGTCAGAGGTGAAGGTCGGAGGGGGAGGGTCGGGAGTGGTGAGGGTCGGGAGGTGAGGGTCAAGTGGTGAGGTCGGGAGGGGTGAGGGTCGGGAGGGGTGAGGGTCGGGAGGGGAGGGTCGGGAGTGGAGGGTCGGGAGGGGTGAGGGTCGGGAGGGGTGAGGGTCGGGAGGTGAGGGTCGGGAGGGGTGAGGGTCGGGAGGGTGAGGGTCGGGGGGTGAGGGTCGGGAGGTGAGGGTCGGGAGGGGTGGGAGGGTCGGGAGGGTGAGGGTCGGGAGTGGTGAGGGTCGGGAGGGGAGGGTCGGAGGGGTGGTGAGGGTCGGGAGTGGTGGAGGGCCTGGGAGTGGTGGAGGTTCGGGAGGGGTGAGGTCGGGAGGGTGAGGTCGGAGGGGTGAGGGTCGGGAGGTGAGGGCGAGGAGGGTCGGGGGGTGAGGGCGGAGGGGTGAGGGTCGGGAGGGGTGAGGGCGGGAGGTGAGGGTCGGAGGGGTGAGGGTCGGGAGGGGTGAGGGCCGGGAGGGGGAGGGTCGGGGGGGGTGAGGGTCGGGAGGGTGAGGGTCGGGAGTGGTGAGGGCGGAGGGGTGAGGGTCGGGGGTGAGGTCGGGAGTGGTGAGGGTCGGGAGGGGTGAGGTGAGGATTGTCGGGGGGGAGGGGAGTGGGAGGTCGGGGTGGTGAGGGTCGGGAGGTGATGGTCGGGAGTGTTGAGGGTCGGGAGGGTGAGAGTCGGGAGGGGGAGGGTCGGGAGGGTGAGGGCCGGGAGGTGAGGGTCGGAGGGTGAGGGTCGGGAGGGTGAGGGTCGGGAGGGTGAGGGTCGGGAGTGGTGAGGGTCGGGAGTGGTGAGGGTCGGAGGGGTGAGGTCGAGGGGTGAGGTCGGGAGGGGTGAGGTCGGGAGGTGAGGTCAGGGTGGTGAGGGTCGGGAGTGGTGAGGCCGGAGTGGAGGGTCGGGAGGGGTGAGGGTCGGGAGGGGTGAGGGTCGGGAGGGGTGAGGGTCGGGAGTGGTGAGGGTCGGGAGGGGTGAGGGGGGAAGAAGGGAGGGGTGAATTACCTAGGTTACAGGGAAGTGGTTGAGGCAGCGCTGGCCTGTACCTCTCACGTTACCTAAATCCGGGAAATATTTACTTAACCTCTCAGACATAATCCGTAATCCCCCGCGCGCGTCTGGCTGCCTGTCCAGGGATTAACAATACAACCATTTAATATGACCTAAACTGACCTAACCTGACCTGATCTAACCTAACCTAACCTAACCTAACCTAACCCAACCAACCTAACCTGACCTAACCTAATCCCAACCTAACCTGACCTAACCTGACCTGACCTAACCTAACCTAACCTAACCCGACCTGACCTAAACTGACCTAAACTGACCTTAACCTGACCTTAACCTAACCTAACCTAACCTACCTAACCTGACCTGACCTAACCCAACCTAACCTAACCTGACCTGACCTGACCTGATTTAACCCAACCTAACCTATCAATTAGGTAAGGAATGCGGTTAGGTTCAGTAATCAGGGTATCAGTTGAGGGCAGTAGTTGAGGGTAGTAGTTGAGGGCAGTAGTTGAGGGTAGTAGTTGAGGGCAGTAGTTGAGGGTAGTGGAAGTTGAGACAGTAGTGAGGAAGTTGAGGGCAGTCGTTGAGGCAGTAGTTGAGGGCAGTTGAGGGGTAGTTGACGGCAGGAAGTTGAGGGCAGCATTTGAGGGCAGTAGTTGAGGCAGTAGTTGAGGTGCAGTTGAGGGCAGTAGGAGGGCAGGAAGTTGAGGGCAGCTGAGGGCAGTAGTTGAGGGCAGCAGTTGGGAGGGTGGGGCAGTTGAGGGCAGCAGTTGAGGGCAAAGGAGGCGCAGCTGAGGGCAGTAGTTGAGGGGCAGCAGGAGGCAGCAGAGGTGCAGAGGCTGAAGGGCAGTTGAGGCAGTTGAGGCAGCGAGGTAGCAGTTGAGGGCAAGGGGCAGCAGTTGAGGCGTAGTAGTTGGGAGGCAAGTGTGCTGAGGGCAGCAGTTGAGGAAGTGTGATGGCAGGTTGGGGGCAGTAGTTGAGGGCAGAAGTTGAGGGCAGCAGTTGAGGGCAGCAGTTGAGGGCAGTAGTTGAAGGCAGTAGTTGAGGGCAATGGTTGAGGGGGCAGTTGGGAGGGCAGCTGGAGGGGCAGCAGTTGGAGGGGCAGAAGTTGAGGGCAGTAGTTGAGGCAGAAGTTGAGGGGCAGTGAAGTGGAGGGCAGTAGTTGAGGCAGTAGTTGAGGCAGTGTTGAGGGGCAGCAGTTGAGGCGAGCAGGTGGAGGTTGAAGGTGTAGTTGAGGGCAATGGTTGAAGGCAGTAGTTGAGGGCAATGGTTGAGGGAAGTAGTTGAGGGCAGCAGTTGAGGGCAGCAGTTGAGGGCAGTAGTTGAGGGCAGCAGTTGAGGGCAGTAGTTGAGGGCAGCAGTTGAGGGCAGTAGTTGAGGGCAGGGGCATGACGTCTAGCCTATCAGATTGCAGGATACATGTCAGGTGATCACCGGGACCTGTGTAGGGGATTACCTGCTTATTAATATCCAGTGTAGTGATGATACTTCCTACCTGAGGCTCCACCAACCAGGCGGAACAGTGGAACGGTGATCCAGGTGGAACAGTGGAACGGTGATCCAGGTGGAACAGTGGAACGGTGATCCAGGTGGAACAGTGGAACGGTGATCCAGGTAGAACGGTAGGATGGTAGTACAGGTGGAATAGTGGAACTGTGACCCAAGTGGAAAGGTAGGTTGGTAGGGCAGGTGGAATAGTGGAATGGTGACCCAGGTGGAACATTGGGGTGGTAGAAAAGAAGGATGGTAGGACAAGTGGAACAGTGGAACGGTGGGGAGAGGAGTAATAAAGTGTGTGTGTGTGTGTGTGTGTGTGTGTGTGTGTGTGTGTGTGTGCAGATGGTGGTGTAATGCGTCTAGTGTGGCAGCATTATGTTAGTGTTAAGGTGCAAGCACTGCTTGCTTCCTCTCACTTTCAGCCGCCGCTGCTGGCTAGCCCTCGTGGCGAACAGGGAAGCAACCTGCATAAGAACATAAGAACATAAGAATGGAGGAAACTGCAGCGGGCCTATTGACCCATACTGGGCAGTCCCGTTTATACCCAACCCCTATTGCTCATATAAGCATCCAACCTATGTTTGAAGCTATCCAGCGTATTCAAGTTAATGATGATATTTGGTAACTTGTTCCATTCATCCACTACTCTGTTTCCAAACCAGTGTTTACCTATTTCACACGAAATCTAAATTTGTCTAATTTAAAACCATTGTTAGGAGTTAACTCCTGGTTGGATAGTTTGAGTACCCTTTGTTTAACCCTGACTTCCATTTATACACCTCTAACATGTCGCCCCTCACTCTACGTCTCTCGAGGGAGTGCAAATTAAGATGCTTTAACCTGTCTCTGTATTCAAGGTTCCTAATGCCCGGGATTAGTCTTGTCATTCTCCTCTGGATTCTTTCCAAGGATTCTATATCCATTCTGTAATACGGTGACCAGAACTGAACTGCGTAATCCAAGTGAGGTCTCACAATTGCTAGATATAATTTTAAGATGACCTCGCTAGTCTTGTAACTAACACTCCTTTGGATGCACCCAATTACTTTATTAGCCTTGTTATGAGCAAAAACACATTGTTTACTTGGTTTAAGATTCCTACTTATCATTACTCCTAAATCTCTCTCGCAGTCGGATTCCACAAGGGCATCGTTGTTCATCTGGTAACTGGTTTCCCTGTTTACATCTCCTATAATGAGTACTTTACATTTGTCCACGTTGAATTTCATCTGCCATTTTTCCGACCATTCGAAAATTTTTTTTAGATCTTCCTGTAGCTTTGCTGAGTCCTCGTCAGATTTAATTACACGTCCTATTTTAGTGTCATCAGCAAATTTACTTATGTTGCTGTCTATGCCGATATCTATGTCGTTTATGTATATAATACATAATAATGGTCCAAGTACTGAGCCTTGGGGAACACCACTTGTGACGTTGCTCCAATGGGACTTAGTGCCGTTAATGCTCACTCGCTGTTTCCTGTCCTGTAACCACGCCCTAATCCATTTAAGGATATTACCTTTGATGCCATGCCCTTCTACCTTTCTAATTAGTCTTTCGTGGGGGACTCTGTCGAAGGCTTTGCTAAAGTCGAGATATACCACATCATAATTGTGCCCCTTGTCCACCGATTCGAAAACTGATGAAAAGAATGTTAATAGATTAGCTAGACATGAACGCCCACTTGTGAAGCCATGTTGGGAATCATTGATCAACTTGTGCTTCTCCAGGTGGTTTCGAATAGAGTTTGAAATAATTGATTCTAGTAATTTACCTACTATTGATGTTAGACTGATTGGGCGGTAGTTAGAGGATAGTGATCTATCCCCCTTCTTGAAAATCGGTATTACATTCGCTATCCTCCAGAATTCTGGTACTACACCTGTTTTTAATGACATGTCAAACAACTTTGCTAAGGGTACACTAAGCTCTTCCTTACATTCCTTTAATACTCTGGCAAATATCTCATCGGGACTAGGTGACATATTAGGCTTCAGTTTGTCTATTTGCTTATTAACATCGTTACTAGTCACTACTATCTCGCTTAATTTGTTTTCTTCACTATCTCTGAATAGAGTCGGTGCCTTGGGTATCATGTTTAAATTTTCGGTGGTGAAAACTATTGAAAAATATTTGTTCAGATTATTGCTCATTTCTCCGTCGTTATCAGTTAGCTCCCCGGTATCTCAACGTATTGGTCCAATCTTATCTCGTGTTTTAGTTTTATACATTTGGTCGAATCCTTTGGGGTTTGTTTTCGCCTCCCCTGCTATCTTCAGTTCATAATGCCTCTTCGCTTTTCTTCTCTCGGTCTTAACCCTACCGGCCAATACCTTATAATACTCCCGGAGGTAAATTTCGCCACGATTTATCCTTCTACCTATAGCCTTCCTTTGGCCAATAATGTTCTTTAAATAATTATTTATCCATTTAGGGTCATTGTTGTCTGATCTGAGTTTTTTGTATGGTATGTTCTGCCTTTGTGCATTAAGTAACTCATTATTTAAATTGTCGTGGAACTCGGCAATCTCAGATCTCGTTATCAGGAGGGTGTCATCTGTCAAGTTCACACCCAATCGTGACACCCCCTCACCCAGCTGCCTCTTTAAACCATCAAAGTTTGCCCTTCTGAAATCTGGGACTTTAATGGAATTCCCTTTACGTCTGACCTGAAAATCTATCTGGAATCTAATTTCTTTGTGATCGCTGTTTGCAAGTTCGTTCCCTACCTCGACATTGCTAATGAGGTTTTCTCTGTTCGACAGAACTAAATCGAGTATATTATTACCCCGGGTGGGTTCGGTTATATGTTGACTTAGGAAACAGTCCTGGATCGTTTCGAGGAAATCCTCTGATACTGAGTTACCTGTAAGGTCAGTCCAATCTATTTGGCTAAGGTTAAAATCACCTACTATTCAGACTTTGTTGTGTATGGATGCCCTGCGCATTTCATCCCAGATAAGTCGCTCATTAACTCTATCAAGATTGGGAGGTCTATCAGCATATACCTAGATCACGCGCACCTGCAGTGATTTACTTGCATATTACTCCTATGATTAATTTTTCCTACCGTCGATTAATTCTATCCAAATTGTTTCTGTATTCCGCTCAGTTTTTATTTCCTTATTTATTTCGCACTTCAGATTATCCCTAACATAGATGGCTACTCCGCCTCCTTTCCTGGTCTGCCTATCGCTATGGAACAATTTAATCCGCAATTTGGTATTCGACCTGTAACTCACGTGAGTCTAGGTTGATCCATGTTTCAGTGAATGCTATAATATCGATTTTTTCGGTACATACCAAGACCCTAATATCATCCATTTTGTTTCTCATACTTCTACTGTTCGCCTATTAGACATTTAAGTTAGTCGTGTTCTGAGTCCTCCCTTTACCGCGTTTAGGTTTAAACGCCCTGTCTAATTTAGTTTTGTCATCATTCCTAACACTATTTCCCTGTAATCTTTCACTTTGTTTACCCGCTCCCACTGCATAAGTCTTCCCCTGCCAGTACACAGCCTCCTCACCATCAAGACTCCTGCTGTGCCTCCTCGTGGCAACACACGGTAACTGGATGCCTCATGGGCCTAGGCTAGACCAGCAGGGGATCTCGTAGTAGCAGTGGGCCCCAGAGGGACGGTACATAGGACTACTTGGCCTACTCCCAGAAGATGGTCGACTCACAGAACGGGGGTCTGGCTACACCTTCTTCTGGAAGGGTAGGCCTGCTGCAGAGAGAAACAGCATTTATGGAAGTGACTTTGACATTTGACATTTGTCAATCCTTCTTACACAGTCTAACTGAAATGCCAGCTGGGGTCATCGAGCTCCTCCTTGACGCTCCGAGTCCCACTGAATTACTAATATAATGCCTTCGTCATCTGTGCATACGCCCCAACACTGGATGCAGAGGATGGTATCAAGGAGGTCTTTTACTGCGACCTTGACAGAGTGCTAACCTCTAGCCCCAGTGAAGATAAGGTTGTGCCCCAAGGTAACTTCAACACCCACGATCCAAACACTGGCGTCATTGACTACATCATTGTCAGAGAAAGTGATCGCCGAGATGTCCTCATCACCCGAGCCATACGTGGCTCAAACCACTGTGGTACAGATCATTGGCTCGTCAGGGCCAAACTCTCCTTTCACGTCGCCCCAAAACGGCGAAGGCAACAAGCCTCTAGAAGAGGTTTTAACACTAAGCGTCTGGAGGATCAAGCGGTAGCACAAGCACATGCTTTCAGAGTGCAGCTCGAACATGGGCTGATAAACATCCCGATAACAAACAGCCCAAATCCCAGTGCCGAATGGGGTATCCTCGACGCTGTCATCTCAAAAACCTGCAGAGAGACCCTTGGCCAGATCGAAAGAATACACCAGGACTGGTTTGATGAAAATAACCCGGAAATCAATTTACTCGTCGATGGTAAGCGTGCTGCTTTCCCTAATTGACAGAACAATCCTTAGTCTCGGACCAAAGCTGATACCTTCCACGAGAAGAAAAACAAATGAACGAATGGTGGAGAAACAAAGCGAGTGAAACACAAAAACATGTGGATCAACAAAAGATACGTCAATTTTTAAATTCCACTGAACAAATTTATGGCCCAACTACTCATGGCGCGTACCCCTTCTGCTCCGCTCATCCGACGTCACCTCCCTAATTAAAGACTATGAAGGCCTCCTTTAGCGCTGGAAAGAGCACTACGATTCGCTGCTCAACCGTAAACTGATGTGGATGACCTGACTACCCAGCAGGACTCTCAGCTATCCTCCATCCTATGACGAGGAAGCTACTGCCAGATGAAAAATAACAAAGTACAGGGCCTGATGGAATCCCAGCCGAGGTGTATAGAGCAGGAGGACTTCTGCTTACCAGCCGTCTCCACTCTCTCCTG